AACCTTAGTAACTCTGCCTTTCTGTAGTTGCCTACTTCTGTTTTTTTTGTGTGTTTTTTTTCTTTTTTTTTCAAAAGGCTTTCCCTTTCCTCGTGTAATTTAGCCTCATTGTGTTGAAAGAGTGACATGGACCAGACTGCTGTGGTGTATTTGATTTATCAGGTTTTAGTGCTATATGCACCAAAGTGTGTCAGAGAAGGCTTGTTGTTTATGGGAGTGATTTCAGCAGCTGTTAGAAGAGACATTACTACTACTGAAATCTGGAACTGATTTACTCTTGATCTGCGTCCCTTTGTCATTCACTGTTTGCTTGCTTTTCACATTACTGGTACACTCTAGGGAATTGTCTCGTGTGTACTGTAGACAAAAGTGATTGATTGTTCTCTCCACATGGATAACTTTTTCATCATTTATAAAGTAATTCATTAGGATTTTTTCATAGTTCATGATCTAAAAACCAGAGAGCGTAGTTCAGTCCTGCTAAGTTCCAGAGCTGGTGTGCTCACTGGTGGCACGGGCCAGTGAAAGCATGAATCACAGAATTGCAGAATATCTGAAGTTGGAAGGGACCCACAAAGATCGTTGAACACAATTCCTGGCTTCACACAGGAAATTCCCAGAATCCAAACCCTATGTCTGAGAGCACTGTTCAAACACTTCTTGAACTCCTGTGGCTTGAGGCTGTTATCACTGCCCTGGGCAGCCTATTCCATAACCACCACCACTCTCTGGTCAGAACCTTTTCCTAACACCCATCCTGACCCTCCCCTGGTGCACGGTGCTCTTCTAGTACTAAATAGGAACATGAAGGCAAATTATTTGAAGTGAATCAAGAGAGTAAGTCAACTTTCAGTCTGGACAGCTTTGCTATTTGAGATTGCTGCAACTGGTGAGCACCATGGTATGCTGAATAGTCTTTCTGGGAAAACTGTATCCACACTGCCTGCTTGAAAGCTAGTACTGTGGCTATTTATTGTTGGAAATGGAAGGCAGTGATGCAGTGGCAAGAAAAATACTCTGAGAAAATGTGTGAACAAAGGGAATTAAGGGAGAACTGATTGGTTTTATTCTTTGCAAGAACCACAATAAGTAGATTATTTAAAAGTTATGAAACTGAAGCTTTGAAAAATAAATAGTTTCAGAAAAAGAGGTCTGAGAATCAGAGGTGATAAGAATAATTATTTTTTTGAAGATGTCAGCAAATTGGAAGTAATTTTTTAGGTTAAACAATTCACAATACTCTGAGACAGTACTGTTTATTACTAAATTGGGAAAATAAATGATATACAATGTTGTAATTTACAGAAGTCAAGAATGTTATGGAAATCTGTAGTTGCTAAATATTTTACCATTGCAATAGACTAAAACAAACAAAAAATTCTATTACATGAGTGTATGAATGGAAGATATGCCCAGAAGATGTTGTTGCCACTGATGACATGTACATAACGCTGATGGATGGCACTGGCTCTGCCCATGCAGATTAAATGTCTGGCAGTCATCTCCCAGATCCTGGCTGTGCCATGGTTATTTGTAGCATATTGCAGGAACTGTGGGCGTGCACATAAACTCCATTTATTTCACTCTAGTAAAATTTCTATGTGGGGAGAAAAAAGGTACCTGGGGAAATAAGTGTGTACCAGCTGGTACTGGCACACATCAGCTGAATTTACATCAAGTTTTAATGGCAATAGAGCCGTGATTGTTCCTTGCTTTGGTTGTTGTGGGGAGAATGTTTTTGTGGCTTTTTAAGAAGGTATTTCTCATTTAGTTTCCCAGGTTTGGAATGGAATTATTTTGAAGTATTTATTTTTGATGTTTTACCAACACTGGGATCTAAAACCAAGCTGTATTTCAGTTCCAGTTCTGATGCAGTACAGCTTCCAGTCCTCTCGCTCTGCTCTGCACAACCTGCAAGATATGCACAGTGCTACAATAGTAATAAACCTGACATTTTCAGTGATGTTTAAATGATCAACTGATTTCTGCTAAGTGAAGGTCATGTGTTTTGAAGCCCCAGCATTTTATGTGCAGGCATACAGGTGTATCTGTCAAAAGGTTAAAGTTAAGATGAACCTGCTATGTCCCACCAAAAACTTCCCAAAAATAGTGTCCCCTCTCCAAGTAGGTAACAGAAGATTTTCTGACAGACAGGGGAGATGTTTTTGTGAACCATTCATTGCAAAGCAAAGATGTCTGGCTGGGAGAACTGGAGGCAGAGTTAATTCTCTGTCCTTTTTCGTGCCTTATCTGTTTGTACAAAAAGGTACCAGGTGCTCTCCCTACACAGATAACAGAGAGCCCTGGGGTTCCTGTGAGTGCAGAATCTCTGGGAGCACATTTGAGGTGGTTAAACTTGGCACAGGCTAACAGGAGACCAGGCAGCTGGGGGCTTACGTTGGTGCCATTTTGTTAGGGGCCTGACCATAGGGTTTTTCTGAGGCATGTAGGAACAGGAATGAAAGAAATTTGTGGTTAAGGGAGTATTTTTCTTTATTTGGAATTAGTTTGGAGGGAATAAAGGAATTATAGGAAAATTTGACCTGTGCTTTGGCAGACCTCACAAATTGATGTTGCTGTACAGGTAGAAGCAGTGGTAGATTTGTGTCTTACTGTGCTGCCTCTATTTTTAGTTTCTGACCGCTTGCAAATTCTGTTTACAAATGTCAGGAAAATGCATTAGGATTATCTGCATTGTTGTAGAGGTAATGAAATGCTGGCCAGTTTAGCCGATAGAACAGCTAAACACAGGCTCCCACTGACATGTCAGTGTAGCTGCTAAATGCACACTGTGGCTCCACGGGACTTCTAAGCTACCTGTGCTACTCTTTCCTTATTGCTTGTTTCCTGATTTAATATGGAGATTAGGAATCTTTTAATTTTTTTTTTTTTTTTTTAATTGTTTTAACATCAGAAGCTCATCTGAGAGTAACTGAGAATGTGCATTGAGGAGAAAGGAGGGGCTGGGATGAGGGTTCAGCAAGAGCTCCTTAATCCATTCCTGCACTGCTGTGTGTAGCTCATGGAGCATGGCAGTTATACTGGAGGCACAAGGACTGAGAGTCCCTAGCCCTTCTGTCAGCGATCTCTATCACTTGGTCTTTTATTGTAGCATTTTACAAGGGATTGCTAGCGATACCAGCCCTCAGAAAGTCTTTTCTGCCACTCTTATTCACTAGCCAGCAAGAGGCTAGTGAATTCCACTTTGAAGGCAGTCTAGAAGTAGAAATAGGAGGAAAGTATGGCTTTGAATGAATGTTAGACTACAAAGGCAATAGCTCCCAGAACAGAGCAACCTTGTGTGTACCTGTGAATGCCCAGTTTTGGTAGTGCGATTTCTCCAGTTTTTGAAGCTGTGTGTCTCTAAGGAAGCATGCAATGGAAATCTGATGGGAAACATATTTTTATGCCATGAAGTGTTTAAACTTGCAGCTGGAACACTGCAGGCTCACGTCAGCTTGTCAAGTGTAGCTCTTGCCTGGCAAGTCTGACCAAGAAATAGAGGCTCTTTTTTCACCTAGGTGATGAAGGGTGGGAAGTCTTGATTTAGTAGTGAGAGGGAGATGTAAATCCATGCTTACTGTCTGAATACTTTACAACTGAGAAAAAATGAACCTGGAAAGGAACTTGACTTTTCTTCATGTTTTGTAACGAGAGTCTAAATATTTGTGATATATGGCATGCATGTGTCCAGAGCTAGATGTTAGATGAATAAACAAAGGGTTATTTATTCCAAGATTTTAATTGCTGTTTATTCAGATAAGTACCACAGAGCTGTAGCTTGCAATTACTGAAAAGAACAGTCATACCACAGCAGCTCTGTTCTGCCAAGCTGTTCTAATGAATGATGAAATACTGAAAACTAGCCATTGCTTTTGTCAGCCGGAGACTGACAGTTGCTGATGAGTCTTTTTTTTTTTAGCTCAAGTATTTTTATTTTTATGAAAATGTACTTTAAATAGTAAATTAGCAGATAGCTGTTGATGAAAAAGTGGTAAAATTAATCCTGTGCTTTATTCATAGTCAGCTTTAGTACTGGAACTGAAGTGCTGTGTGCATTTTGATCAGGGAGAACAGGTTCACTTAGTCCTGCTCTCAACCCTCAGTCTGCAAAATGCAGCAAGGAAACCACAGCTGCTCGGTGCCTGGGGGCTTGCTCATAGCCATAGCAGTGCTGTTGGCCTCCAAAAGCAGTTTGATGCAGTCCCAGATCCAAGTGATGGCATTTTCTCTTCTGTGCTTCTTTGTTGGGATTCCTCTGTGCTATTGAGGGTGTTTTTTGTTTTGTTTTGTTTTTTTTTTTTTTTTTGCAGAGTACTGTCTACAACTGGAAACTGTGAGATGGTGGAACCAGGATGCATAGAATCAAATGATCTAAGCAACACCTTTTTTCCTCCTAAACTTTAGCCTATTTTTAAAGAGTCAATTTAGAGGCAAAACGCTGTCAAAAGTGAAGCTGGTTAAAATGTTTCCCATTACTACTTCTGCTTTTGAAATCATTGATTCAGTGGAATTTGAAACATTTCTTGTGGCTGTGTGAATAACACGTAGGCTTTTTGGCAAAAAGATGACAGACAAGGTGTGTGAATGGGCCTGCATAACTTCATGTCAGCCAGCTGGTGGTCGGGTGGGCTCTTGTGCCTTGCTGGAGCAAAAAGCACTTTGGGATGGGAATTTTTCTAAAAGTCTGAAATTGTTATTTTACTCAGAACCTCATCTGAAAGACAGCATACTTCATAAACACCGGTCTCTGAATGCTCTGCTAAACTTTATCCCACTATTTTAAAGAAAGACAAACATCTCTTGATGACCTCTAGGTCTTGTACCCTTTTTCTAAGTGTTGGCCAGGTTATTCTAGTAGCAGCTGGGTGAAGCTAAGTCCATGTGTTGAAACTAGTTTTCTAGTTTCCAGCCGAGAGAAGAAAGGATACAAACAAACAAACAAATAAATAAAAATAAAATATTTAAATGATTCTAAGTAATCATTTTCTTTCCTTTAGCTGTCTCCGTAATGAGATACAGTGCATCATCGTTTGGATTTGCTGTAAGTAGAAATAAGAGCTAAATATTCTCTACTTTTTTTTTTCATGTGCTCTTTCTGAACACAAAATACCTTTTTTTTTTGTAAGTTCATGGTAACATGTACAAATGCAATGGCTGATTAGAAAAATTACTGTTGAAGTAAAGCTTTGGAAGGAATAATGGAAATATTTTCATTTTAATTCTTTGGTTTCTGACTGCTGAGGCTTACACAGGAGTTAATATTTATATCTCATCATTGGTAGGAATTATCTACCAGATATGGTTATCTTCTACAAAATCTATCAACTTACTCTGTTCCCTTGTTAAACTTTGAGCAAAATTCCTTCTGAACTTTGCATGTCCTTCCTACTGGAAGGCGAGGCTAAAACTACAGCAGACTTAGGCACTTTCCTTCTGTAATTGTTGCCATGGTTCTCCTGATCAATGGCAGAGCAAAAAATTTCCTGATGACATGCACAGTGCCTGATTTCAAACAGTTTAGCATTTACTTTCAAATTTGAAAGATAGATTGACTCTGTAGAAAGTTTGACGTGAGTATGAAAGTTTTTATAGTGGCTCAAACTTTTTTTTTTTGGAAATTTTTAGATATTACCTGAAGTCGTTTCTTAATTTGCTGGAAATACAAACATTCTCTGTTTTAAGAGTGAAATAGAGAACTATGAAATCTTGACAAGCTGGGATTTTGGCAAAGTTAAATGTTCTTTGCTTTGAAACAAAACGTCCTACTGAAGAAAATTCATGAATTTTCAGGGAAAAGAAATATTTGGCAGGCATTTTCAAACACTTTTCTTTTAGAATCTTTGCATATGAATCATATTTGCAGTATTGTAACTCTTGTGGTGCCACAGTATCAGTTTATTTTTTTTTTTTTAACTCCTCCAGATCCAGATTATGGATTACAAGTAGAAAGTTCTTAATCTCTTGCTTGACTGGATGAGTTCTGAAGTGCATCATTGTGCAAAAATACATGGCAAGATCAATTTAATGAATGTAAATCCTACTTTCATTAAAATGATTTATTCGAAGCTGCTTTGTGCCTGTGCAGCAGGATGGTAAATATGTTGCTGTTAGTATTTGTGGGCATCTTGTTGGACCACAAAACATTTGATTGTGTATCTCTTTCAGTTTGATGCTACCCTGGATGTTTTGTCGTCAGCAATAGTTTTGTGGCGTTACAGCAACGCAGCTGCTGTACATTCTGCACACAGGGAGTACATGTAAGTACACTTAATTGCTTTTGGCTTTGATATAGGCCTGCAGAGCTTTGGCTGTCAAGCTGTGATGTTGAGAAAAAAGCATTTTGCAAGTATTCATTCCTTATGCCCATTTTCTGCTTGGACCCAAACACATAAACTGTACTGGAGCAGACTTCCCTATGTTTGTGATTTTCATTTTCCTTTTGGCCAGTGTAGGAATTGTTAGGGCTTTGGGCTTTTTTCCTTGCAGCATCTGTGTTAGAAGAATTGTATCTGCAATCTGTAATGGACTGTAAGTCTCTTATTTTGCCTATTTCTCTGTTATTCTTCTCGGGGTATCCCTTCAAAATTGTTGTTTATATTATGTATGTGCCACCTTTAAAAAGACTGAATATATGTCAAACGCCTTCTTTTTAAATGTAAATCTCTTTATCTTCTTGTGATATTGTTAGAAGTTGAAGTTACAGAACACCTGATAAGACTGAGTTTCTATTAGTGATTTGGTAGCAGGGTGACATACTTTATTTGTACTGCTATACAAATTGAGACATAGGCACACACACAGATCTCCTTTTTATTGCAGAACAACTATTGTCTTGGTAAAATTACCAGTGTTTGCACGTCTTCTCTAGGGAAGAATGTATTTGCTTGAAAAGAAAGCATATTTAATGATTGCTTTTAGAATCCTATGGGAAAAAATAATCTTTAGATGGCAGCAGTGTATTGACCACAGTGGAGACTGTAATCTGTGTCATTTCATTGTGTAGCATTTTCACTGGTGATGCATGTGGTACCTGAGAAGATCAGATTGACTTTGGCTAAAGAATTGTTCTGGATAGTGCATAAAGACAGCTTCTACCTCCTGATCACATTTCTAGTACACTGAGATGCAAAAGATGCAACACTGTAGAACATTTATCTGCCCTGTTCTGGTTCTGCGTTGCCACTGCTAGTAGTACCCAGTCTGGCTTGTTTGAAGATAATTCCACTATCCTCTGGAATGGACTATCATTGTATTACATAGGGGGATGTGATAGTTTTTGTCCTCAAACACTTCTAATGAAGTCCCTTCCACAAAAAGGGATGCCTGAATGAAAGTGGGTTTTTTATTACTGGTAGACTCAAGGGGAAAAAAAATACACAGAAGGAACTACGGCTTGTCTTCATAATTCTTTCCTATAAACTAAGAAAACTGTAAGCAGTGTTTTTAAATTCATTAACTAGGGCTCGTGCAGCAGCTTGGTCAGTGTTGTGAATCTCTTTCTGGCACGATTCCATGCATAATAGTTTGGAATTAATGGTCATAGAAAACTGATGTGGCATTGATTCATAAAAATAAATACAGAAATATGCGATCAAAATTAGCCTATCTGCACAAATTTGGAGATCTTAGCAGACATTTCCTGAGCATCTTGCTCTTGTGGGCGTCCGCAGAGATTCCTGTCAACATTTAATTAACATATTTTTGAAATCTCCTTCTGCTGAACAGTGAACATTGTTAAGTACTTTATAGGGAAAATAAATCCCAGTACAAAAGAAGAATCAACATATCCCTATGGCTAAGCCAACAAAGTGAACAAGCAAAGTGGCAAACATTTTTTCCCGCTTTTTATGCTCTTTATAAATTTGCTTTCATATAATCCCTCTTCTTTACATAAAGCTAAATTAAGCCAATATATTACTTGCCATGCCCTCTAGTTGAAGACACCAAAGATTACGTAGTGAGATACTGAGTTAAAGAATACAACTATATGCTGGGAATATTAATCACTGGGTAGGCAATCTGGTTATTGCTTAGTTTCTAGATTTGACAAGACAACGATCGTTTTATAGATGAGCAAAGATGATTTTATCTTAAGGCAGTTCCTACTGGGTCAGATTTTTGAGAGAGGCATATTTCTAGTTTCCTGTTGTGTTTAATCAATCTTTTGCTTGAAAGACCACATGCAATTAATTTTTGTCTCTGCTGGGAAAATGTTGTGTGACTTCCTGGCTGCTTACTTAACTTTTAAATAATTATTGTACTGTATGTGACTATAACTACACCTGTTCTTTCACAATTCTTATTTTATTTGTGCCAGGGAAAACCATCTCTAAGACTTTTGAACAGTTTGGTCATAATTTACATAGGTGCTTGTGTCATGCTGTGCATTGTTCATGTTTCTGTGTGCCCAGCTGTATTTTGCCTTGCTGTAGAAGCCAAATGCCTGCCCAGAACCCAGCATTTCTATAAACACATTACTGCATTTACTAGAATGAGGTGTGTACAGTTTTGCTCTTCATTAGTGGGTCTCTCTTTTTATTGATTTAAATACATTTTTGTCCTAATGTACCTAAAAATAATTTGTATCCCAAATTCCTTGACAGGAGCCAAGTGAAATTGCCAGTAAATTATGTGTTATAAATTTATAAAAGAAATTATTTTATAAACTTGACAGAAGGAAGTTGATGCAGAATCTGCTGAAATCAGTGGAAACCTCTCACTGAAGGGCTAAGATAGATCCTGCCCTGTTAGGCTTTGTTGAGAGAGAATATGAACATAGAGTGGAAAACAGAACCCTAGAAAAAGATATAGAGAATACAGCTTGACTCATTATTTATGATCAATTAAATGCTTACAATGAAATGCTAAGATACGAAAGAATATATTTTATTTAGCATAATCTTGCTAAAATGTAGCCATATGGAAGTGAGAGATGGAGCATTTCATGAGCTGGTACTCAGAATGAGCAGTGGAAAACTGTGCTCTGTGCCAAGTTCTGTTAAGTCAAACTGATGCATTGCCGTTTGACCTCAGGGGATTGTAGTTCTGTATCTACCGTAAAAATGTGCCCTGCTGAGTTGAACTTTTTACTAGTTCATTTGATTTCTCTCCTTTTCTGAGCAAGAGGCAAAGGTACTTTTTGGTGTACATGTGACCAGAGTTCTACAATGTACATCTTTGATAATTCTCATGGCATTTAACACATGTAACCTAAAATATATTTTAACTTACCTTTGGGATTCACCCTGCTTTGAAATTCTCTGAAATTGGTGGCCCAAAGAGATCAACTTACAGACTAATGCAAGTCTTCTATGGATGGAGAATTTTTCTTAAGTTGTTGTGAAAAGATTTAGCTGGTTAGATTTGAGGTGTGTCTTAAGTTATGACTAATTTTTTTATGCCTTATTTTTAAATATAGTGGCTTTGAACATACAGTGGATATTGATTAAGATCAGATATAAGCCACTGTAAGCCACTTGAGACATTGCTTGACTTTGTCTAGCTGACTTATTAATCAAAGTATGTGTAGGAGTGGGGTGAACATTGAAAACATTTTTGTGACTGATATTCCTTGGATAGTTTCTCACTTCTCTATCTTACTGTTTTGGCAGTCAAATAAAAGGGCCAAGTCTCTCAACTACTCAACACGGGCTATAGTGTTTACATGTGTTTTTTAAGAGTTTTTGAAAGAATTGTAGAACTTGAGGAGTGCAGGAATTGAGAGAGACCTGAAAGGAAGGATACCTGGAAAGAAAGTCAGAGTACATGGTTTCTGAGTGCTTGACTTGCTCGGCATGATCTGCTGGGTTGCAAAAGGGAATTTGGAGGTATTGAGTGAATTATCTAAAAGGCAGTAATCCAGACGTCCAAGAAGAGGTGTGTGCTGACATAACGAGAGAGGTAATGTTGAATTTCAACCAAAGATGAAAACTTATGACTGAATGTCCTTGCAATTTCCTGTTTTTCTTTATAAGAGGAAAAACTGAGAGAAATGAATAAACTCTGATACAGCTGATTAAAAATACAATAGGATGACTATCTGTGCACTTCAGACAAGTGCTTACCACTTAATGATGAGGATTTTTGTGCAGCACTGTGTCTGCAGATTTGCATCTGTAAGTTTTATTGTGGAGGGGTTGGGGTTGGTGAGCACCTCTGGAGATCATTTCTTTTCAAAGCAAGGTCAATAAAGCAGGTTGCTCAGGCCCATTTCTGGTTGGAATGTGAATATCTCCAGGGATGGAGGCTTAGCATGCTCTCTGCATAACCTCTTTCAGATGAGTATTTCTTGTATTTCAGTTTGTAACCATTGCCTCTTGTCCTGTCACTGGATGAGAGATCTCTACAAAGCTAGATAAGTGTGCAGAAAAATCTGTGCCAGGATAAAATTCTGAAGCCAGTCTTCTGTTTTATGTTACTTAAATATTGAGCTGTCACTGAGCAATTCAAGATGCACCAGGAGATCTGAGCAGTGTACACATATTCCTGAATATTCTGCCCCTTAGTTAATCTTCAGTGACATAACAACTTCTTGGGATGCTGAAGGAATTCTAGGTTTTGTTGGTGGTGGAGAAAATTTATTGAAACTGATGAGGTAGTAGCAGTTTTTCATGTACATAAATAAACCCAGTGAATAGCTGTAAAGTCATTTGCTAATAGAAACCAGGGTCATTGGGGATCTGGAAAAACGTCTCACCAGAGCTGCAAATAGTAACTAGCTATACAGCCAAAGGTCAACTCTTTGATCTGGTAAATTCAGGGATGAAGGACTTAAATTGAAGCAGTGGAACTGAGTGTGAGGAGGTAGTGATAACTGCCACTAAAAAAATGAAAGCCTGAGAAAACAGAATAACAAACTTTGGGCACATAGGCTTGTGAAAAGTCTGTAAAGGATGCAACTTTTAATGTGTAGTTGGTGGGAAAAGTAACAAACCTGTGAACAAAGGAAACATCTCCCATTTGATTCTCCTTCTGTTCAGGAAATAGTGCTTTGCTCATTGTAAATTAATACAGTTGGCAGCCTCAGGTCAAATATTCAGTTCAAATGGAGTAATGTTCTTTGTAGGTTATAAGGTAGTAATGATGCTGTGTTACAGAGCTGCAATTGCATTTTGCTACTGTGTGGTGCAGGGGCTGTTTCTGCTTATGCCCTCAGGACCCAATGCTCCTAGGATTTTTTTGTGCCTTTTTTTTCTTTTAGAGCTTATATCTTTAGTGTTGCAAAGACTAGATGTGCAGCATATTTAACACGGTGATT